GATGACGATGGTCGGTTCACGGAGCGCGTGGCGGACTTCAAGGGGCTCTATGTGAAGGATGCAGACAAGGCCATCATCGCACACATGAAGGTACGGCATCATGCCACTTGCTTGCTGCAACCTCTTCTATTCCCACCACTGTCAGTCACTTCTCTCCCCTTGCTGCCTTTCCCCTTCACTCCCTCACTCACATCACTACATACCCCTTTCCGTCATCGCTCCCATTGTTTGCGTTGACCTACTTCCCCCTCTGAGTTCCCTTTCCCCACCGCCCACAAGCCTTGTCCTTCCCCTTCCCACTGAGTGTCACCGCCTCATTCCCCCCTTCACCTTCCGCCCGTCCCTTGTGTTGGCCCGTGCTCTGTATTCCCATTCCCCGCCTCCCCCTCCATGCACCCCCCTGTCTCCCAACCCCCCTCTTCCGTCCTCTATTCACCCTCCCCTCTTCGCCCCACCCTCGCCCCCATGGGTGCGAGCAGGAGGCGGGGCGGGTGGTGAGCGTGGGCAGCATCATGCACTCCTACCCCTTCTGCTGGCGCTCCGACACGCCCCTCATCTACCGAGCTGTGCCCAGCTGGTACGCCCCTCATCTACCGAGCTGTGCCCAGCTGGTACGCCCCTCATCTACCGAGCAGTGCCCAGCTGGTACGCCCCTCATCTACCGAGCTGTGCCCAGCTGGTACGCCCCTCATCTACCGAGCAGTGCCCAGCTGGTACACCCCTCATCAACCGAGCCGTGCCCAGCTGGTACGCCCCTCATCTACCGAGCAGTGCCCAGCTGGTACGCCCCTCATCTACCGAGCTGTGCCCAGCTGGTACGCCCCTCATCTACCACGCTGTGCCCAGCTGGTACGCCCCTCATCTACCGAGCTGTGCCCAGCTGGTACGCCCCTCATCTACCGAGCTGCGCCCAGCTGGTACGCCCCTCATCTACCGAGCTGTGCCCAGCTGGTATGCCCCTCATCTACCGAGCTGTGCCCAGCTGGTACGCCCCTCATCTACCGAGCTGTGCCCGGCTGGTACGCCCTCATCTACCGAGCTGTGCCCAGCTGGTATGCCCCTCATCTACCGAGCAGTGCCCAGCTGGTACGCCCCTCATCTACCGAGCTGTGCCCAGCTGGTACGCCCCTCATCTACCGAGCTGTGCCCAGCTGGTACGCCCCTCATCTACCACGCTGTGCCCAGCTGGTACGCCCCTCATCTACCGAGCTGTGCCCAGCTGGTACGCCCCTCATCTACCGAGCTGTGCCCAGCTGGTACGCCCCTCATCTACCGAGCTGTGCCCAGCTGGTACGCCCCTCATCTACCGAGCTGTGCCCAGCTGGTACGCCCTCATCTACCGAGCTGCGCCCAGCTGGTACGCCCCTCATCTACCGAGCTGTGCCCAGCTGGTACGCCCCTCATCTACCGAGCAGTGCCCAGCTGGTACGCCCCTCATCTACCGAGCTGTGCCCAGCTGGTACGCCCCTCATCTACCGAGCTGTGCCCAGCTGGTATGCCCTCATCTACCGAGCAGTGCCCAGCTGGTACGCCCTCATCTACCGAGCCGTGCCCAGCTGGTACGCCCCTCATCTACCGAGCTGTGCCCAGCTGGTACGCCCCTCATCTACCACGCTGTGCCCAGCTGGTACGCCCCTCATCTACCGAGCAGTGCCCAGCTGGTACGCCCCTCATCTACCGAGCTGTGCCCAGCTGGTATGCCCTCATCTACCGAGCAGTGCCCAGCTGGTACGCCCCTCATCTACCGAGCTGTGCCCAGCTGGTACGCCCCTCATCTACCGAGCTGTGCCCAGCTGGTACGCCCCTCATCTACCAAGCTGTGGCCAGCTGGTATGACCCCTCATCTACCACGCTGTGGCCCAGCTGGTACGCCCCTCATCTACCGAGCTGTGCCCAGCTGGTACGCCCCTCATCTACCGAGCTGTGCCCAGCTGGTACGCCCCTCATCTACCGAGCTGTGCCCAGCTGGTACGCCCCTCATCTACCGAGCTGTGCCCAGCTGGTACGCCCCTCATCTACCACGCTGTGCCCAGCTGGTACGCCCCTCATCTACCGAGCAGTGCCCAGCTGGTACGCCCCTCATCTACCGAGCCGTGCCCAGCTGGTATGCCCCTCATCTACCGAGCAGTGCCCAGCTGGTACGCCCCTCATCTACCGAGCTGTGCCCAGCTGGTATGCCCCTCATCTACCGAGCTGTGCCCAGCTGGTACGCCCCTCATCTACCGAGCTGTGCCCAGCTGGTACGCCCCTCATCTACCACGCTATGCCCAGCTGGTACGCCCCTCATCTACCAAGCTGTGGCCAGCTGGTATGCCCTCATCTACCACGCTGTGCCCAGCTGGTACGCCCCTCATCTACCGAGCTGTGCCCAGCTGGTACGCCCCTCATCTACCGAGCTGTGCCCAGCTGGTACGCCCCTCATCTACCACGCTGTGCCCAGCTGGTACGCCCCTCATCTACCGAGCTGTGCCCAGCTGGTACGCCCTCATCTACCGAGCTGTGCCCAGCTGGTACGCCCCTCATCTACCGAGCTGTGCCCAGCTGGTACGCCCCTCATCTACCGAGCTGTGCCCAGCTGGTACGCCCCTCATCTACCGAGCTGTGCCCAGCTGGTACGCCCCTCATCTACCGAGCTGCGCCCAGCTGGTACGCCCCTCATCTACCGAGCTGTGCCCAGCTGGTACGCCCCTCATCTACCGAGCAGTGCCCAGCTGGTACGCCCCTCAATCTACCGAGCTGTGCCCAGCTGGTACGCCCTCATCTACCGAGCTGTGCCCAGCTGGTACGCCCCTCATCTACCGAGCAGTGCCCAGCTGGTACGCCCCTCATCTACCGAGCTGTGCCCAGCTGGTACGCCCCTCATCTACCAAGCTGTGCCCAGCTGGTACGCCCCTCATCTACCACGCTGTGCCCAGCTGGTACGCCCCTCATCTACCGAGCAGTGCCCAGCTGGTACGCCCCTCATCTACCGAGCTGTGCCCAGCTGGTATGCCCCTCATCTACCGAGCAGTGCCCAGCTGGTACGCCCCTCATCTACCGAGCGGTGCCCAGCTGGTACGCCCCTCATCTACCGAGCCGTGCCCAGCTGGTACGCCCCTCATCTACCGAGCAGTGCCCAGCTGGTATGCCCCTCATCTACCGAGCAGTGCCCAGCTGGTACGCCCCTCATCTACCAAGCCGTGCCCAGCTGGTACGCCCCTCATCTACCGAGCAGTGCCCAGCTGGTACGCCCCTCATCTACCGAGCCGTGCCCAGCCTGTACGCCTCGCATCTACCGAGCTGTGCCCAGCTGGTACGCCCCTCATCTACCGAGCCGTGCCCAGCTGGTACGCCCCTTCCCCCCCCCTCCCCGTCTCTGGTCCCTCCCTCTTCCCTTCTCTTCTCCCCCCTCCCAGGTTCATAGCGGTGGAGCAGATAAAGCCGGCGCTGCTGGCGAACAACGCAGAGACGTACTGGGTGCCGGAGTACGTTAAGGACAAGCGCTTCCACAACTGGCTCGAGAACGCACGCGACTGGGCTGTCAGCCGCAGCCGCTTCTGGGGCACGCCGCTGCCCATCTGGGCGAATGAGGACCTCAGTGAGATGAGGGTGGTGGGCAGCGTGGCGGAGCTGGAGGCGCTGGGCGGCGAGAAGGTGACAGACCTGCACCGCCACAAGATCGACCATATCACCATCGCCAGCAGCAAGGGCGAGGGCCACCCGCCACTCAAGCGCATCGAGGATGTGAGTGGGGCATCTGGAGGGTGAGGGGGGGGGGGGTCAAAGGGGAAGAGATGATGCGCGGGGTTAAAGGCGGGGCATGGTGGGGGGAAATGGTGGTGAGGCGAGGTGAAGGACGTGAGGCAAAAGCGAGTGGTGAGGTGGCCGGACTGCCAGCGTTTACTCCTTATACCACCACCTCTGGCCTCCCTCAACTTTGATCAAGTGTTGACTGCTGCTTTGATTCTCTCACACCAGCAGCGTGCTGTATGTACGCCTGCGTGCATGCACTGTTTCACACCGGGCCTTCCTTCCCCTTACCCCCATCCCCCCATGTCCCCGTGTCCCCCGCAGGTGTTTGACTGCTGGTTTGAGAGCGGCAGCATGCCGTATGCTTACATCCACTACCCCTTTGAGAACAAGGAGCTCTTCGAAAAGAACTTTCCCGGACACTTCATTGCGGAGGGGCTCGACCAGACGAGAGGATGGTGAGCGTGCAATGTGGGATGGGGGGTGGCGAGGCAGAGGATGGGATGGAATGGCCCGAGTAGGGCCAGGCTCGATGATGGCGTGGGGTGCTGAAAGCTAGGATGGCCTTGTGTCGTGATGCCACAGTGCCATGCCTCGCTTCTCCTTGCGTCTCTCAGTGAGAAGCTTTGACACGCCCATGGTCCTCTCCATCTCCACTCTGCTCCACAGTTTCACTACCCTGCACCCTCATGCCCCCTTCTCACATTCGCCCTCCCCTCGTTCCCCCTCCGCACAAACCCCCTCCCTTGGGCCCCCTCCCCACTTGCCCCCGTCATGCCCCATCCCATCCTGCGTCCCATGTGCCCTCACAACCCCACCCCCCCCCCCCCCCAGGTTCTACACGCTGATGGTGCTGTCGACGGCGCTCTTCAACAAGCCTGCCTTCCGCAGCCTGATCTGCAACGGGCTCGTGCTGGCGGAGGACGGCAAGAAGATGAGCAAGCGCCTCAAGAACTACCCCCCGCCCATGGACGTCGTCTCCGCGTACGGTGCGGACGCGCTGCGCCTCTACCTCATCAACTCGCCCGTCGTGCGCGCCGAGCCGCTGCGCTTCAAGAAGGACGGCGTCTTCGCCGTGGTGAGCCTTCACACTCCCCCTTGCCCTGCCTTTTGTCCTGTGGCGAGATATCTTCTCTGCGCTGCGGGAAAATTCTCTATTCCTCTGGTCTTGTCCTCACGCCCTCCCTCCATTTGTGTCTCTCGTCCCGACCCCACATCCCGCTCCACGCCCCTTGGTGGTGCCCCCCTGTGCCGACCTCGCCCCCCGCGTGCACCTGTGCTGACCTCGCCCCCCGCGTGCACCTGTGCTGTGCGCCTCACCCAAAACAACGCCCACCATTCCCCGCGTCGCTCCAGGTGCATCGCGTGCTCGTGCTTCACTGCCTGCCACTCACGCCCTTCTCGCCCTCCTGTCCCACCCCCTACCCCCTCCGCCCCCACCGTCCCCCTCCCCCCCCAGGTGCGCGACGTGTTCCTCCCCTGGTACAACGCGTACCGCTTCCTCGTGCAGAACGCGTTGCGCCTCACAGCTGAGGGCCTGCCGCCATTCCAGCCAATGACGGCGCGCCAGCTGGCGGCGAGCAGCAACGTGCTGGACCAGTGGATCCACTCCGCCAGCCAGAGCCTGGCGCAGTTCGTGCGCGGGGAGATGGAGGCGTACCGCCTCTACACCGTGAGTGCGCGGGGAGATGGGCGCGTAGCGCCTCTACACCGTGAGTGCCCTTGTAAAGGGTACATGGTGTATGCTGTGTATGGTACACGTTTAGCTGCCTTATGCAGTCACTTGCGATGTTGCTGTCTCTCTACTGCTCCCAATCGGCATGGCCCCTCCGCACGCCCCCCTGCGCCCATGGGTTGTGGCAGGTGGTGCCGTACCTGGTGCGGTTCATCGACAGCCTCACCAACGTGTACGTGCGCTTCAACCGCAAGCGCCTCAAGGGCCGCACCTTCGATCAAGACTGCCGCTTCGCCCTCTCCTCGCTCTTCCATGTCAGTGCCTCACGCCCTCTCCTCGCTCTTCCATGTCAGTGCCTCACCCCCTCTCCTCGCTCTTCCATGTCAGTGCCTCACCCCCTCTCCTCGCTCTTCCATGTCAGTGCCTCACCCCCTCTCCTCGCTCTTCCATGTCAGTGCCTCACCCCCTCTCCTCGCTCTTCCATGTCAGTGCCTCACCCCCTCTCCTTGCTCTTCCATGTCAGTGCCTCACCCCCTCTCCTCGCTCTTCCATGTCAGTGCCTCACCCCCTCTCCTCGCTCTTCCATGTCAGTGCCTCACCCCCTCTCCTCGCTCTTCCATGTCAGTGCCTCACGCCCCTCTCCTCGCTCTTCCATGTCAGTGCCTCACCCCCTCTCCTCGCTCTTCCATGTCAGTGCCTCACCCCCTCTCCTCGCTCTTCCATGTCAGTGCCTCACCCCCTCTCCTCGCTCTTCCATGTCAGTGCCTCACCCCCTCTCCTCGCTCTTCCATGTCAGTGCCTCACCCCCTCGCACATGTGAATGCGTTTCATGCCACCACCTCCTCTACTCTGTGGCGCTCGCACGGGCGTGAGCACTGCGCGTGCCACACACGAGGCGGATGGCACTTCATGCTCTGCAGGCACGGCATCACACGGGCCTTTCATCAGCCTTTCCCGCACCTCCATGTTATTTCTCTCCTCTTGCCTTGCCGTATTTCCTTTCCCGCTTCGTCCATCTCATCATCCCCATCCTCTTCCCTCCCCCCCCCAGGTGCTGCTGACGGTGTGCAAGGCCATGGCGCCCTTCACCCCTTTCTTCACAGAGGCCATGTACCAGAACCTCAGCAAGGCGCTCCCACAGCGCCCGCCCGCCGATGCTGCTGCTGCTGCTCCTGTTGGCGATGGCGAGGTGGGGAGGCAGGGCGGGCTGGGCGGGGCGGCGGTGGATGAGGAGCACCTGGAGTGGGCGGAGGACTCGGTGCACTTCTGCTCCTTCCCCACCTCCGATAAGCATGTGAGGGCGGGGTGATAAGCATGTGGGGGGATGGCAGTAAGCCCGCAAGGGTATGGGGATAAGCACGCGAGGGCATGGCAATAAGCACGCGAGAGGCATGTGAGAGGGTGGTGATAGGCGTGTGAGGGGATGGTGAGAAATGTGTGAGGGGATAAGGAATAGACGTGTATGGAGCAGCCGCTGCTTGATAAGAATCTGAGAAAGACATGGGCACAAGCCGAGCCGGCCCGAGCCTGGCCTGAGCCGGAGTCGATCCGGGGGGCTGGCGAGCCGAGCAGGCCTGAGCCAGGTCGAGCTGGCTCAAGAATGTGATGGCTCAGATCGCCCAAACAGGGGGTCCGGCTCGAAATCGAGCTGGCTCGGCTCGGCTCGACCAGTACGGTACAGTTTGGCGGATGGAGTGCGTGGAGTGGTCGAAGGGACGTCTGGTGAACCCCCAGTGAGTTTTAGGGGCTGTTGATGGCTCAAGAGCCATCCCTCCTCACGTTATTGGCAGCAACAATTCCTTAGTTTGTTAGAATGCCAGTCGAGCCGCATGCAAGCCAGCTCGACCCTGGCTCGAGTCACGTTTGTGCGTTGAGCCGAGCCCAGTCGGCGGCTCGCGCGGCTCAGGCTGGCTCGGCTCGAGACAAGCCGGAGGCAAAAGAAATCGGCTTGGCTCGCCAAAGAGTTGAGCTGAGCCAAGCCAGCTCGGTTGAGTTAGAGCTCATGTGTAATCTGAGACCTGAGGCATGCCGTCAAATGCATGTCAAGCCGTCACATGCATGGCATGCCGTCACATGCATGGCATGCCGTCAAATGCATGGCATGCCGTCAAATGTATGGCATGCCGTCACATGCATGGCATGCCTTGACATGCATGTCATGCCGTCACATGCATGGCATGCCGTCACATGCACGGCATGCTGTCAAATGCATGGCATGCCGTCACATTCATGGCATGCCGTCACATGCATGGCATGCAGTCACATGCATGGCATGCCGTCAAATGCATGGCATGCCATCACATGCATGGCATGCCGTCACATGCATGGCATGCCGTCACATGCATGGCATGCCGTCAAATGCACGGCATGCCGTCACATGCACGGCATGCCGTCACATGCACGGCATGCCGTCACATGCACGGCATGCCGTCACATGCACGGCATGCCGTCACATGCACGGCATGCCGTCACATGCATGGCCTGCCGTCAAACGCATGGCGTGCCGTCACATGCATGGCATGCCGTCACATGCATGGCATGCCGTCAAATGCATGGCATGCCGTCACATGCATGGCATGCCGTCACATGCATAGCTTGCCATCAAATGCATGGCATGCGGTTTAATGCATCGCGGGCATGCCGTCACATGCATGGCATGCCGTCACATTCGTGGCTTGCCGTCAAATGCATGGCATGCCGTCGAACGCATGGCATGCTGTCACATGATGGCATGACGTCAAATGCATGGCATGCCGTCACATGCATGGCATGCCGTCAAATGCATGGCATGCCGTCACATTCATGGCATGCCCGTCACATGCATGGCATGCCGTCACATGCATGGCATGCCGTCACATGCACTACATGCCGTCACATGCATGGCATGCCGTCAAATGCATGGCATGCCGTCACATTCATGGCATGCCGTCACATGCATGGCATGCCGTCACATGCATGGCATGCCGTCGCATGCATGGCATGCCGTCAAATGCATGGCATGCTGTCAGATGCATGGCATGCTGTCACATGCATGGCATGCCGTCACATGCATGGCATGCCCTCAAATGCATCGCATGCCGTCACATGCATGGCATGCCGTCGCATGCATGGCATGCCGTCAAATGCATGGCATGCCGTCACATGCATGCACTGCATGCCGTCACATGCATGGCATGCCGTCACATGCACGGCATGCCGTCACATTCATGGCATGACGTCAAATGCACGGCATGCCGTCACATGCATGGCATGCCGTCAAATGCATGGCATGCCGTCACATTCATGGCATGCCGTCACATGCATGGCATGCCGTCACATGCATGGCATGCCGTCACATGCATGGCATGCCATCACATGCATGGCTTGCCGTCACTGTCACATGCATGGCATGCCGTCAAATGCACAGCATGCCGTCAAATGCACAGCATGCCATCATATTCACGGCATGCCGTCACATGCACGGGATGCTGTCAAATGCATGGCATGCCGTCACATGCATGGCATGGCATGCCGTCACATGCATGGCATGCCATCACATGTATGGCATCCCGTCACATGCACGGTATGCCGTCAAATGCATGGCATTCCGTCACATGCATGGCATGCCGTCACATGCATGGCATGCCGTCACATGCATGGCATGCTGTCACATACATGGCATGCCCTCACATGCATGGCATGCCGTCACATGCACGGCATACCATCACATGCACGGCATGCCGTCAAATGCATGGCATTTCGTCACATGCATGTCATGCCGTCACATGCATGGCATGCCGTCACATGCATGGCATGCCATCAAATGTGTGGCATGCCGTCAAATGCATCACATGCCGTCAAATGCATGGCATGCCGTCACATGGATGGCATGCCGTCAAATGCATGGCATGCCGTCAAATGCATCGCATGCCGTCAAATGCATCGCATGCCGTCACATTCATGGCATGCCGTCACATGCATGGCATGCCGTCACATGCATGGCATGCCGTCAAATGCATGGCATGCTTCCATTCTCTGCTCGTCAATGCCAGCCCTTTGTCTACTTTTTTCTGCCTGAGTTTGTCGGTTTTACCACGCCATGGTGTGCCATGGACCCTAAAGTAGAGTTATGGTGATGCCCTTGCGTGCATCGGCAGCGCAACTGATAACATTTCGCGCAGGGAGTGTCCCACACTTGCATGGCGCTATCCGCTCAGCCCGTATGCTCATCCATGCGTCACTCTCTAAAGCTAGATCCATCGATGTACTTCCATAGTCTTTTTTCCGAGCTTGCCTGAATCGTCTCTCCCTCCTTCAACAGTGACCTGATCCTAATGGCGTGCTCCTATTCTTGCCCTTTCTCTCGATTCCTTCTCCCCTGTCTCTTTCTCAGGGGCGTGCAGCACAGGAGACCAACTGTTGGTGATTGGATAGTGAGTCTCATCTCTCGTCCTACCCTTCTCTCCACTGCTTCCTTCCTCCCTCCTCCCCGTGTCCGTCCCCAGGTGGACGAGCGCATGGAGCGCAGTGTGGAGCGCATGATGAAGGTCATCGACCTCGCCAGGAACATCCGCGAGCGCAACAACCGCCCGCTCAAGACGCCGCTCCGGTGAGCAACAAGTCATTAGAAGCTGAATTGCTGCAAGGGGTAGGTTCACACAGTCAGGCTCCAGTTTTCCCTCTGGTGCTTTGTCACGGTGCAGGGGAAGTAGCCTTCACAAACTGTACGGGTATGTGACAGTGCTGCGTTGCTCTCCCCTCATGTGACCGCATGTGCGCGTGTGAACAGGGAGATGGTGGTGGTGCACCCTGACGCCCAGTTCCTGGAAGACATCACCGGCAAGCTGTGCGAGGTGGGGCAAGCTGGGCGAGGTGGGGCAAGCTGGGCGAGGTGGGGCAAGCTGGGCGAGGTGGGGCAAGCTGGGCGAGGTGGGGCAAGCTGGGCGAGGTGGGGCAAGCTGGGCGAGGTGGGGCAAGCTGGGCGAGGTGGGGCAAGCTGGGCGAGGTGGGGCAAGCTGTGCGAGGTGGGGCAAGCTGTGCGAGGTGGGGCAAGCTGTGCGAGGTGGGGCAAGCTGGGCGAGGTGGGGCAAGCTGGGTGAGGTTGGGCAAGCTGGGCGAGGTGGGGCAAGCTGTGCGAGGTGGGGCAAGCTGTGCGAGGTGGGGCAAGCTGGGCGAGGTGGGGCAAGCTGAGCGAGGTGGGGCAAGCTGTGCGAGGTGGGGCAAGCTGGGCGAGGTGGGGCAAGCTGAGCGAGGTGGGGCAAGCTGTGCGAGGTGGGGCAAGCTGTGCGAGGTGGGGCAAGCTGGGCGAGGTGGGGCAAGCTGGGCGAGGTGGGGCAAGCTGAGCGAGGTGGGGCAAGCTGTGCGAGGTGGGGCAAGCTGTGCGAGGTGGGGCAAGCTGGGCGAGGTGGGGCAAGCTGGACGAGGTGGGGCAAGCTGTGCGAGGTGGGGCAAGCTGTGCGAGGTGGGGCAATCTGTGCGAGGTGGGGCAAGCTGGGCGAGGTGGGGCAAGCTGGGTGAGGTTGGGCAAGCTGGGCGAGGTGGGCAAGCTGTGCGAGGTGGGGCAAGCTGTGCGAGGTGGGGCAAGCTGGGCGAGGTGGGCAAGCTGAGCGAGGTGGGGCAAGCTGTGCGAGGTGGGGCAAGCTGGGCGAGGTGGGGCAAGCTGAGCGAGGTGGGCAAGCTGTGCGAGGTGGGGCAAGCTGTGCGAGGTGGGGCAAGCTGGGCGAGGTGGGGCAAGCTGTGCGAGGTGGGGCAAGCTGTGCGAGGTGGGGCAAAGCTGTGTGAGGTGGGGCAAGCTGGGCGAGGTGGGGCAAGCTGGGTGAGGTTGGGCAAGCTGGGCCGAGGTGGGGCAAGCTGTGCGAGGTGGGGCAAGCTGTGCGAGGTGGGGCAAGCTGGGCGAGGTGGGGCAAGCTGAGCGAGGTGGGGCAAGCTGTGCGAGGTGGGGCAAGCTGGGCGAGGTGGGGCAAGCTGAGCGAGGTGGGGCAAGCTGTGCGAGGTGGGGCAAGCTGTGCGAGGTGGGGCAAGCTGGGCAAGGTGGGGCAAGCTGGGCGAGGTGGGGCAAGCTGTGCGAGGTGGGGCAAGCTGTGCGATGTGGGGCAAGCTGGGCGAGGTGGGGCAAGCTGGGCGAGGTTGGGCAAGCTGGGCGAGGTGGGGCAAGCTGTGCGAGGTGGGGCAAGCTGTGCGAGGTAGGGCAAGCTGGGCGAGGTGGGGCAAGCTGAGCGAGGTGACGCAAGCTGGGCGAGGTGGGGCAAGCTGGGCGAGGCGGGGCAAGCTGGGCGAGGTGGGGCAAGCTGGGCGAGGTGGGGCAAGCTGTGCGAGGTGGGACAAGCTGTGCGAGGTGGGGCAAGCTGCGAGGTGGGGCAGGCTGTGTGAGGCGGGGCAAGCTGTGCGAGGCGGGGCAAGCTGTGCGTGGCGGGGCAAGCCTATGTGTTAGCACAGCCTCTTCAATGCCGGCATTCCCATGCACCCTCGCTCACCTGTGCTCCCTCGCTCACCTGTGCTCCTCGCTCACCTGTGCTCCCTCGCTCACCTGTGCTCCCTCGCTCACCTGTGCTCCCTCGCTCACCTGTGCTCCCTCTCTCACCTGTGCTCCCTCTCTCATCTGTGCTCCCTCGCTCACCTGTGCTCCCTCGCTCACCTGTGCTCCCTCCTCACCTGTGCTCCCTCGCTCACCTGTGCTCCCTCGCTCACCTGTGCTCCCTCGCTCACCTGTGCTCCCTCTCTCACCTGTGCTCCCTCGCTCACCTGTGCTCCCTTGCTCACCTGTGCTCCCTCGCTCACCTGTGCTCCCTCGCTCACCTGTGCTCCCTCGCTCACCTGTGCTCCCTCGCTCACCTGTGCTCCCTCGCTCACCTGTGCTCCCTCGCTCACCTGTGCTCCCTCGCTCACCTGTGCTCCCTCGCTCACCTGTGCTCCCTCGCTCACCTGTGCTCCCTCGCTCACCTGTGCTCCCTCTCTCACCTGTGCTCCTCGCTCACCTGTGCTCCCTCGCTCACCTGTGCTCCCTCGCTCACCTGTGCTCCCTCGCTCACCTGTGCTCCCTCTCTCACCTGTGCTCCCTCGCTCACCTGTGCTCCCTCGCTCACCTGTGCTCCCTCGCTCACCTGTGCTCCCTCGCTCACCTGTGCTCTCTCGCTCACCTGTGCTCCCTCGCTCACCTGTGCTCCCTCGCTCACCTGTGCTCCCTCGCTCACCTGTGCTCCCTCGCTCACCTGTGCTCCCTCTCTCACCTGTGCTCCCTCGCTCACCTGTGCTCCCTCGCTCACCTGTGCTCCCTCGCTCACCTGTGCTCCCTCGCTCACCTGTGCTCTCTCGCTCACCTGTGCTCCCTCGCTCACCTGTGCTCCCTCGCTCACCTGTGCTCCCTCGCTCACCTGTGCTCCCTCGCTCACCTGTGCTCCCTCGCTCACCTGTGCTCCCTCGCTCACCTGTGCTCCCTCGCTCACCTGTGCTCCCTCTCTCACCTGTGCTCCTCGCTCACCTGTGCTCCCTCGCTCACCTGTGCCCCTCGCTCACCTGTGCTCCCTCGCTCACCTGTGCTCCCTCTCTCACCTGTGCTCCCTCGCTCACCTGTGCTCCCTCGCTCACCTGTGCTCCCTCGCTCACCTGTGCTCCCTCGCTCACCTGTGCTCCCTCGCTCACCTGTGCTCCCTCGCTCACCTGTGCTCCCTCGCTCACCTGTGCTCCCTCTCTCACCTGTGCTCCCTCGCTCACCTGTGCTCCCTCGCTCACCTGTGCCCCCTCGCTCACCTGTGCTCCCTCACTCACCTGTGCTCCCTCTCTCACCTGTCCTCCCTCGCTCACCTGTGCTCCCTCGCTCACCTGTGCTCCCTCGCTCACCTGTGCTCCCTCGCTCACCTGTGCTCCTCGCTCACCTGTGCTCCCTCGCTCACCTGTGCTCCCTCGCTCACCTGTGCTCCCTCGCTCACCTGTGCTCCCTCGCTCACCTGTGCTCCCTCGCTCACCTGTGCTCCCTCGCTCACCTGTGCTCCCTCGCTCACCTGTGCTCCCTCGCTCACCTGTGCTCCCTCGCTCACCTGTGCTCCCTCGCTCACCTGTGCTCCCTCTCTCACCTGTGCTCCCTCGCTCACCTGTGCTCCCTCGCTCACCTGTGCTCCCTCGCTCACCTGTGCTCCCTCGCTCACCTGTGCTCCCTCTCTCACCTGTGCTCCCTCGCTCACCTGTGCTCCCTCGCTCACCTGTGCTCCCTCGCTCACCTGTGCTCCCTCGCTCACCTGTGCTCCTCGCTCACCTGTGCTCCCTCGCTCACCTGTGCTCCCTCGCTCACCTGTGCTCCCTCGCTCACCTGTGCTCCCTCGCTCACCTGTGCTCCCTCGCTCACCTGTGCTCCCTCGCTCACCTGTGCTCCCTCGCTCACCTGTGCTCCCTCGCTCACCTGTGCTCCCTCGCTCACCTGTGCTCCCTCGCTCACCTGTGCTCCCTCGCTCACCTGTGCTCCCTCGCTCACCTGTGCTCCCTCGCTCACCTGTGCTCCCTCGCTCACCTGTGCTCCCTCGCTCACCTGTGCTCCCTCGCTCACCTGTGCTCCCTCGCTCACCTGTGCTCCCTCTCTCACCTGTGCTCCCTCGCTCACCTGTGCTCCCTCGCTCACCTGTGCTCCCTCGCTCACCTGTGCTCCCTCGCTCACCTGTGCTCCCTCGCTCACCTGTGCTCCCTCGCTCACCTGTGCTCCTCCTCACCTGTGCTCCCTCGCTCACCTGTGCTCCCTCGCTCACCTGTGCTCCCTCGCTCACCTGTGCTCCCTCGCTCACCTGTGCTCCCTCGCTCACCTGTGCTCCCTCGCTCACCTGTGCTCCCTCGCTCACCTGTGCTCCCTCGCTCACCTGTGCTCCCTCTCTCACCTGTGCTCCCTCGCTCACCTGTGCTCCCTCGCTCACCTGTGCTCCCTCGCTCACCTGTGCTCCCTCGCTCACCTGTGCTCCCTCGCTCACCTGTGCTCCCTCGCTCACCTGTGCTCCCTCGCTCACCTGTGCTCCCTCGCTCACCTGTGCTCCCTCGCTCACCTGTGCTCCCTCGCTCACCTGTGCTCCCTCGCTCACCTGTGCTCCCTCGCTCACCTGTGCCCCTCGCTCACCTGTGCTCCCTCGCTCACCTGTGCTCCCTCGCTCACCTGTGCTCCCTCGCTCACCTGTGCTCCCTCGCTCACCTGTGCTCCCTCGCTCACCTGTGCTCCCTCGCTCACCTGTGCTCCCTCGCTCACCTGTGCTCCCTCTCTCACCTGTGCTCCCTCGCTCACCTGTGCTCCCTCGCTCACCTGTGCTCCCTCGCTCACCTGTGCTCCCTCGCTCACCTGTGCTCCCTCGCTCACCTGTGCTCCCTCGCTCACCTGTGCTCCCTCGCTCACCTGTGCTCCCTCGCTCACCTGTGCTCCCTCTCACCTGTGCTCCCTCGCTCACCTGTGCTCCCTCGCTCACCTGTGCTCCCTCGCTCACCTGTGCTCCCTCGCTCACCTGTGCTCCCTCGCTCACCTGTGCTCCCTCGCTCACCTGTGCTCCCTCGCTCACCTGTGCTCCCTCGCTCACCTGTGCTCCCTCGCTCACCTGTGCTCCCTCGCTCACCTGTGCTCCCTCGCTCACCTGTGCTCCCTCGCTCACCTGTGCTCCCTCGCTCACCTGTGCTCCCTCGCTCACCTGTGCTCCCTCGCTCACCTGTGCTCCCTCGCTCACCTGTGCTCCCTCGCTCACCTGTGCTCCCTCGCTCACCTGTGCTCCCTCGCTCACCTGTGCTCCCTCGCTCACCTGTGCTCCCTCGCTCACCTGTGCTCCCTCGCTCACCTGTGCTCCCTCGCTCACCTGTGCTCCCTCGCTCACCTGTGCTCCCTCGCTCACCTGTGCTCCCTCGCTCACCTGTGCTCCCTCGCTCACCTGTGCTCCCTCGCTCACCTGTGCTCCCTCGCTCACCTGTGCTCCCTCGCTCACCTGTGCTCCCTCGCTCACCTGTGCTCCCTCGCTCACCTGTGCTCCCTCGCTCACCTGTGCTCCCTCGCTCACCTGTGCTCCCTCGCTCACCTGTGCTCCCTCGCTCACCTGTGCTCCCTCGCTCACCTGTGCTCCCTCGCTCACCTGTGCTCCCTCTCTCACCTGTGCTCCCTCGCTCACCTGTGCTCCTCGCTCACCTGTGCTCCCTCGCTCACCTGTGCTCCCTCGCTCACCTGTGCTCCCTCTCTCACCTGTGCTCCCTCGCTCACCTGTGCTCCCTCGCTCACCTGTGCTCCCTCGCTCACCTGTGCTCCCTCGCTCACCTGTGCTCCCTCGCTCACCTGTGCTCCCTCGCTCACCTGTGCTCCCTCTCTCACCTGTGCTCCCTCGCTCACCTGTGCTCCCTCGCTCACCTGTGCTCCCTCGCTCACCTGTGCTCCCTCTCTCACCTGTGCTCCCTCGCTCACCTGTGCTCCCTCGCTCACCTGTGCCCCTCGCTCACCTGTGCTCCCTCGCTCACCTGTGCTCCCTCTCACCTGTGCTCCCTCGCTCACCTGTGCTCCCTCGCTCACCTGTGCTCCCTCGCTCACCTGTGCTCCCTCGCTCACCTGTGCTCCCTCGCTCACCTGTGCTCCTCGCTCACCTGTGCTCCCTCGCTCACCTGTGCTCCCTCGCTCACCTGTGCTCCCTCGCTCACCTGTGCTCCCTCGCTCACCTGTGCTCCCTCGCTCACCTGTGCTCCCTCGCTCACCTGTGCCCCTCGCTCACCTGTGCTCCCTCGCTCACCTGTGCTCCCTCGCTCACCTGTGCTCCTCTCGCTCACCTGTGCTCCCTCGCTCACCTGTGCTCCCTCGCTCACCTGTGCTCCCTCGCTCACCTGTGCTCCCTCGCTCACCTGTGCTCCCTCTCTCACCTGTGCTCCCTCGCTCACCTGTGCTCCCTCGCTCACCTGTGCTCCCTCGCTCACCTGTGCTCCCTCGCTCACCTGTGCTCCCTCGCTCACCTGTGCTCCCTCGCTCACCTGTGCTCCCTCGCTCACCTGTGCTCCCTCGCTCACCTGTGCTCCCTCTCTCACCTGTGCTCCCTCGCTCACCTGTGCTCCCTCGCTCACCTGTGCTCCCTCGCTCACCTGTGCTCCCTCGCTCACCTGTGCTCCCTCGCTCACCTGTGCTCCCTCGCTCACCTGTGCTCCCTCGCTCACCTGTGCTCCCTCGCTCACCTGTGCTCCCTCGCTCACCTGTGCTCCCTCTCTCACCTGTGCTCCCTCGCTCACCTGTGCTCCCTCGCTCACCTGTGCTCCCTCGCTCACCTGTGCTCCTCGCTCACCTGTGCTCCCTCGCTCACCTGTGCTCCCTCGCTCCTGTCACCTGTGCTCCCTCGCTCACCTGTGCTCCCTCGCTCACCTGTGCTCCCTCGCTCACCTGTGCTCCCTCGCTCACCTGTGCTCCCTCGCTCACCTGTGCTCCCTCGCTCACCTGTGCTCCCTCGCTCACCTGTGCTCCCTCGCTCACCTGTGCTCCCTCGCTCACCTGTGCTCCCTCGCTCACCTGTGCTCCCTCGCTCACCTGTGCTCCCTCGCTCACCTGTGCTCCCTCGCTCACCTGTGCCCCTCGCTCACCTGTGCTCCCTCGCTCACCTGTGCTCCCTCGCTCACCTGTGCTCCCTCGCTCACCTGTGCTCCCTCGCTCACCTGTGCTCCCTCGCTCACCTGTGCTCCCTCGCTCACCTGTGCTCCCTCGCTCACCTGTGCTCCCTCGCTCACCTGTGCTCCCTCGCTCACCTGTGCTCCCTCGCTCACCTGTGCTCCCTCGCTCACCTGTGCTCCCTCGCTCACCTGTGCTCCCTCGCTCACCTGTGCTCCCTCGCTCACCTGTGCTCCCTCGCTCACCTGTGCTCCCTCGCTCACCTGTGCTCCCTCGCTCACCTGTGCTCCCTCGCTCACCTGTGCTCCCTCGCTCACCTGTGCTCCCTCGCTCACCTGTGCTCCCTCGCTCACCTGTGCTCCCTCGCTCACCTGTGCTCCCTCGCTCACCTGTGCTCCCTCGCTCACCTGTGCTCCCTCGCTCACCTGTGCTCCCTCGCTCACCTGTGCTCCCTCGCTCACCTGTGCTCCCTCGCTCACCTGTGCTCCCTCGCTCACCTGTGCTCCCTCGCTCACCTGTGCTCCCTCGCTCACCTGTGCTCCCTCGCTCACCTGTGCTCCCTCGCTCACCTGTGCTCCCTCGCTCACCTGTGCTCCCTCGCTCACCTGTGCTCCCTCGCTCACCTGTGCTCCCTCTCTCACCTGTGCTCCCTCGCTCACCTGTGCTCCCTCGCTCACCTGTGCTCCCTCGCTCACCTGTGCTCCCTCGCTCACCTGTGCTCCCTCGCTCACCTGTGCTCCCTCGCTCACCTGTGCTCCCTCTCTCACCTGTGCTCCCTCGCTCACCTGTGCTCCCTCGCTCACCTGTGCTCCCTCGCTCACCTGTGCTCCCTCGCTCACCTGTGCTCCCTCGCTCACCTGTGCTCCCTCGCTCACCTGTGCTCCCTCTCTCACCTGTGCTCCCTCGCTCACCTGTGCTCCCTCGCTCACCTGTGCTCCCTCGCTCACCTGTGCTCCCTCGCTCACCTGTGCTCCCTCGCTCACCTGTGCTCCCTCGCTCACCTGTGCTCCCTCTCTCACCTGTGCTCCCTCGCTCACCTGTGCTCCCTCGCTCACCTGTGCTCCCTCGCTCACCTGTGCTCCCTCGCTCACCTGTGCTCCCTCGCTCACCTGTGCTCCCTCGCTCACCTGTGCTCCCTCGCTCACCTGTGCTCCCTCGCTCACCTGTGCTCCCTCGCTCACCTGTGCTCCCTCGCTCACCTGTGCTCCCTCGCTCACCTGTGCTCCCTCGCTCACCTGTGCTCCCTCGCTCACCTGTGCTCCCTCGCTCACCTGTGCTCCCTCTCTCACCTGTGCTCCCTCGCTCACTGTGCTCCCTCGCTCACCTGTGCTCCCTCGCTCACCTGTGCTCCCTCGCTCACCTGTGCTCCCTCGCTCACCTGTGCTCCCTCGCTCACCTGTGCTCCCTCGCTCACCTGTGCTCCCTCGCTCACCTGTGCTCCCTCGCTCACCTGTGCTCCCTCTCTCACCTGTGCTCCCTCGCTCACCTGTGCTCCCTCGCTCACCTGTGCTCCCTCGCCTCACCTGTGCTCCCTCGCTCACCTGTGCCCTCTCACCTGTGCTCCCTCGCTCACCTGTGCTCCCTCGCTCACCTGTGCTCCCTCGCTCACCTGTGCTCCCTCTCACCTGTGCTCCCTCTCTCACCTGTGCTCCCTCGCTCACCTGTGCTCCCTCGCTCACCTGTGCTCCCTCGCTCACCTGTGCTCCCTCGCTCACCTGTGCTCCCTCGCTCACCTGTGCTCCCTCGCTCACCTGTGCTCCCTCGCTCACCTGTGCTCCCTCGCTCACCTGTGCTCCCTCGCTCACCTGTGCTCCCTCGCTCACCTGTGCTCCCTCGCTCACCTGTGCTCCCTCGCTCACCTGTGCTCCCTCGCTCACCTGTGCTCCCTCGCTCACCTGTGCTCCCTCGCTCACCTGTGCTCCCTCGCTCACCTGTGCTCCCTCGCTCACCTGTGCTCCCTCGCTCACCTGTGCTCCCTCGCTCACCTGTGCTCCCTCGCTCACCTGTGCTCCCTCGCTCACCTGTGCTCCCTCGCTCACCTGTGCTCCCTCGCTCACCTGTGCTCCCTCGCTCACCTGTGCTCCCTCGCTCACCTGTGCTCCCTCGCTCACCTGTGCTCTCTCGCTCACCTGTGCTCCCTCGCTCACCTGTGCTCCCTCGCTCACCTGTGCTCCCTCGCTCACCTGTGCTCCCTCGCTCACCTGTGCTCCCTCGCTCACCTGTGCTCCCTCGCTCACCTGTGCTCCCTCGCTCACCTGTGCTCCCTCGCTCACCTGTGCTCCCTCGCTCACCTGTGCTCCCTCGCTCACCTGTGCTCCCTCGCTCACCTGTGCTCCCTCGCTCACCTGTGCTCCCTCTCTCACCTGTGCTCCCTCGCTCACCTGTGCTCCCTCGCTCACCTGTGCTCCCTCGCTCACCTGTGCTCCCTCGCTCACCTGTGCTCCCTCTCTCACCTGTGCTCCCTCGCTCACCTGTGCTCCCTCGCTCACCTGTGCTCCCTCGCTCACCTGTGCTCCCTCGCTCACCTGTGCTCCCTCGCTCACCTGTGCTCCCTCGCTCACCTGTGCTCCCTCTCTCACCTGTGCTCCCTCGCTCACCTGTGCTCCCTCGCTCACCTGTGCTCCCTCGCTCACCTGTGCTCCCTCTCTCACCTGTGCTCCCTCGCTCACCTGTGCTCCCTCGCTCACCTGTGCTCCCTCGCTCACCTGTGCTCCCTCTCTCACCTGTGCTCCCTCGCTCACCTGTGCTCCCTCGCTCACCTGTGCTCCCTCTCTCACCTGTGCTCCCTCTCTCACCTGTGCTCCCTCTCTCACCTGTGCTCCCTCGCTCACCTGTGCTCCCTCTCTCACCTGTGCTCCCTCTCTCACCTGTGCTCCCTCTCTCACCTGTGCTCCCTCGCTCACCTGTGCTCCCTCGCTCACCTGTGCTCCCTCGCTCACCTGTGCTCCCTCTCTCTCCTGTGCTCCCTCTCTCACCTGTGCTCCCTCTCCTCCCTCGCCTCCCTCTTTCCTTTACCCCCGTTTCTTCTCCTCACTATTTCTCCAAACCCCCCCCCCCCCCCCCCCCTGCCTCTGCTGCCCCTGGCCATTCCCCCTGCCGGCAGTACGTGCGCGAGGAGCTCAACGTGCGCTCGGTGGTGCCGTGCGCCGACACCAGCAAGTACACCTCCGTGCGCGCCGAACCTGACTTCAGGTACGGTCCGTACCACACGCTTGGGCTGACACAAGTAATGGCGGAACCCGGCAGCAGCTACTGGTCCAAGGTAACTACAGGCAGGACTGGAAGCGCTGTGTTGCCACATGGTTGGTACTGTGATTGAATGTATGTGCCTACCCCTGCTCGTACGGGGGAGCAACAATATGTCAACAAGTAGGTTGCGAGGAGCGAGCAGTAAGTGGCCGTCGTCAAGAGTGAAGCCTGAACGTAGTCGTCGTACTTGCTTGAACAAAGGCAGGGCACATGGTGATGCCGACCTCGCTGAAGCTCGGCACACTGTCTTTCCACCACTGGCTCACTGGTCTGTCCACAGTCAACCATCGTTTCATCCTCCCTCCTGGCAGCGAGGGCACGTCGTCCCACGTCTCCTTCTTACATGCGCCCCCACCTTCCTCTCTCCACCGCCCACCACCTGGCCCGGCAGTGTGTTGGGGCGGCGCGTGGGCAAGGCGATGGGGGCGGTGGCGAAGGCCGTGAAGGACATGGACGCCGCCGCCATAGCGGCGCTGCAGAGCGCGGGGGAGGTCACCATCGCTGGCCACACCCTCGCTGCCTCTGACATCAAGGTGGGGTTTCAGATTGCCTTGGATGCGGGGATGGGAACAGGAGTGTGAGGATTGGGGAGTGATGTTTTTTCTGAAATGGAGGGGGTAGTTCTAGAAACGATTGCCTTTGTGGCTTTGAGATAGAGGTTGATGAGGGGGGACGTATTGGATGGGAGTTGCTGCAGTTCGTGGGATGGGGGGCAACTGATCTGATACAGATGGATCCTCTCTTCGTATGCCCTGATGATCAGATCGTTCTCTCTTCGTATGCCCTGATGATCAGATCGTTCTCTCTTCGTATGCCCTGATGATCAGATCGTTCTCTCTTCGTATGCCCTGATGATCAGATCGTTCTCTCTTCGTATGCCCTGATGATCAGATCGTTCTCTCTTCGTATGCCCTGATGATCAGATCGTTCTCTCTTCGTATGCCCTGATGATCAGATCGTTCTCTCTTCGTATGCCCTGATGATCAGATCGTTCTCTCTTGTTTCAATCACCCTCTGCGGCCCATCCTCTCCTCCATGGCCTCCCATCCTCTCCTCCATGGCCTCCCATCCTCTCCTCCATGGCCTCCCATCTGCGCTGACCACCATGCCTCCATCCTGCATGCTTTTGACGCAGCAACATGTGTATTCCGTCGTTGCTGCCAGCTTCCTCCCTGCCACACCCGCTCCTCACTCGCTGTGACCGCTACGCACTCCCTCGTGCCGCCCCTCCCCCCCCCACCAGGTGGTGCGGGACTTCAAGGCGCCAGAGGGCAGCAGTGCGGGCGACATGGACGCGGCGGGCGATGGCGAGGCGCTGGTGGTGCTGGACCTGCGGCCCGACACCGAGCTACTGGAGGCCGGCGCCGCCAGGGAGGTGAGGGATGAGGGCGGCCTGTGAGCGTGCTGTGTGCTTGAGTCTCGTGCCTTCAATTGCATGTCCCTTTTAACCCACCCATTCCCATTTCAACCACAGCCCTTCCCATTGCTGTCACCCAATTAGCCCACTGCTGCTTGTCCCTCCAATCCAATGGCCTACAGGCTTTCTTCCCACGCCCCTGGCGCCTCCCTTCAACCTCTCACCCCTATCAACTCGGCCCTTTCTTGCTTAACCCGAAGCCGTAGCTGCTGCTGACTGAAGGCAAGGTGGGGCATCTAACATTCGACAACTCACTTCAATGGCTACTGTCCCCATCCCCCACCCCAACCCCCCCTCCATCCCACCATCCCCACCCAACCCCCCCCCCCCCCCCCCCTCCCTCCTCCCTCCCCCCCCCCAGGTGGTGAACCGCGTGCAGAAGCTGCGCAAGCGGGCGGGGCTGGAGCCCACGGACGCCGTGGAGGTGTTCGTCCACCTGCACGGCGAGGGCGAGGGGGAGGGGGAGGGGGATAAAGCGTCGCATGGGGGGGTCAGTGACGGTGGCGTGGGGAGCAAGGGCAAGGAGGGCGCTGAGGAGTCGCCGCTGCAGCGCATTCTGGTGTCCCAGGTACTCCATTGGCAGCAGCAGATTGGCTGGAGGCCCGTGTGACCTTTTGCACCTGCTGCCAGAGCCATGCCCCTCTCCCCCCGTGCCCGTCCTCCACTCTTCCATCCCCCCCTCCCCCCACTCTCCTCCCCCAGCACTCCGCCCTCCCTCCTGTCTCTGTTGCGCTCCCTATCCCCCCTATTCCACAGTGTTCAAACTTCCCGTTGGTCTGCCCCTGCTCACTCGCCCCTCTTCCCCTGCCAGGCGGCGTACATCCACGATGCCCTGGGAGCGCCACTTCTGTCCGCCGACTACTGCCCCTCACATGCCGTATGTGCCCCTCCCATGCCGTGTGTGCCCCTCACATGCCCTATGTGCCCCTCACATGCCCTATGTGCCCCTCACATGCTGTGTGTGCCCCTCACATGCCGTGTGTGCCCCTCACATGCCCTATGTGCCCCTCACATGCTGTGTGTACCCCTCACATGCCGTGTGTGCCCCTCTCGTGCCGTGTGTGCGCCTCCCATGCCGTATGTTGTGTGCAGCAAGTGCCATGCCTGTCATGTCTCGCACCTCCCCCGCCCCTTGGAGGAATCCTTCTGCCCTCTTGCTGCGACAATTGTCCTCCTCCCGCCAACTCACAGCCCTGCCTCTCCGCCTTCTTCGTCCTGTCACCCCCACCTCCCCCTCTCCCCCAGGTGGTGCTGGCGTCGGAGCGCTACAGCGGAGTGGCGGGGGCGTCCTTCACGCTCACTCTCACGCGCCCCGCGCTCTGCTTCTCGCCCTCCCTCGCTGTCAACGCCTGCAATGGTGTGTGCTCTTCAATGCACCAGATGTGCTCTTGAATGCACCAGATGTGCTCTTGAATGCACCAGATGTGCTCTTGAATGCACCAGATGTGCTCTTGAATGCACCAGATGTGCTCTTGAATTCACCAGATGTGCTCTTGAATGCACCAGATGTGCTCTTGAATGCGCCTGATGTGCTCTTGAATGCACCAGATGTGCTCTTGAATGCGCCAGATGTGCTCTTGAATGCGCCTGATGTGCTCTTGAATGCACCAGATGTGCTCTTGAATGCACCAGATGTGCTCTTGAATGCACCTGATGTGCTCTTGAATGCGCCTGATGTGCTCTTGAATGCACCTGATGTGCTCTTGAATGCGCCTGATGTGCTCTTGAATGCGCATGGTGCTCTTGCGTGTTTTTGCCTCTGGGGGTCTTCATGGCACGTGCCGTCGCCGGCCATCCATGAGTTGTCCTGTCAGTAAGCACATGGCTTTTGTGTATACCATCAATTCAACATCACCCTAGTGCTGTCTGCTCTGCGCTTTTCTCTGGTGCCCATCCCTTTTTTTTACTTCTATTCCAACCGTTTCTTGTCTGTTTAACTGCTGGCCACACATTGAGCCGTGCGAGTGATGAGCCCACCCAAACACACAACATGGAGTCAGTTGCAGCAGTCAAGGTATGCGTGTTGCCGCCAAACTCCGCCCGTCTCTCCCTCTCCATGCATGGCCCTTCACATGCTGCCCTCACGCAGGCAACGCCGAGGCAGCCACCGCAGTGCAGGTGGTGCTGATGGCTCGAGACCCCGCCAAGCTCCGGGCCGAGATGGCAGCAGCAGGGGGGAAGGTGAGCTGGTGGCCCACCATTTTGTGTGCGTGTGCCTGAACTTGTGCGTGTGCCTGAACATGTGCGTGTGCCTGAACATGTGCGTGTGCCTGAACATGTGCGTGTGCCTGAACATGTGCGTGTGCCTGAACATGTGCGTGTGCCTGAACATGTGCGTGTGCCTGAACATGTGCGTGTGCCTGAACATGTGCGTGTGCCTGAACATGTGCGTGTGCCTGAACATGTGCGTGTGCCTGAACATGTGCGTGTGCCTGAACATGTGCGTGTGCCTGAACATGTGCGTGTGCCTGAACATGTGCGTGTGCCTGAACATGTGCATGTGCCTGAACATGTGCGTGTGCCTGAACATGTGCGTGTCCGAGTGTGTGGAAACTCTGTGGGGGGAGAGGAAGGGATGCATGCTTGCAGCTGCACCACTGTCTGTGGGCTGTCAGCCTTGCTGCTGTGGGCTTCTGCCAATCCTGAATCTTGCCCAATTTGCTCTCCACCATCTCCTTGCACCCCCCACCAGGTGCATGTGGCGGTGGACGGCATGGGCGAGTGGGACATGGTGCAGGGCGCGCACCTCTTCCTCTCCGTCAACGACTTCCTTGAGGCGAACCCTGCCACGCGCCCCTGATGGCCCGCCCGCCCTGCCAATCAGCCACCCTGCCACGTGCCCATGGCATCCCACCCCACCTGCGAGCTTGCCAGGGGGCTGTCTCCACATCAAGAAATGGCAGCACCTTCCAAGAGCAGTAGCCTTAGCATTATGTGCTGTGGATCAACCATACATCGCAGAAGTTTAACATAGAGCAGTTGAAGTCATATTCAAGTTGAAAGCATGTCATGACAGGACATGTTTCTGGTGCAAAAGATATCAAGAAAATGTTAGAATGTTGAGAGAAAATTGGACTAAGGGAGGAAGGCTGAGGGTTACAAAGGTGGGAATTGTTGGAAATATCTCAAAGGACTTAAGCGTTTCTGAAGTATAACACTGTACTCGAGGAAGATTACAGGGGGGGGGCACGCGAGTCAACGGAGGTTACACGAGGGGGCGGACAAAGAATGCAAAAAGACTCGAAAGGTCGCAACTAGAGGTTACGACTGACCGTTACAACATCACGGATGGTAACCGAAGCGGCAATCGAGTCGCTGTGCGACTCGATAAACCGTTCCTGTAACTGTATTCTACAACTGCTTTCTTATCTTCTATATATTGCTGTATGCTTGTTTCTTTCATCAATCACTTGTTCTCATATACTAGTACAAGGGTTCAACTACTCAACTTCCGCTGCACTACTCAAGTCTCCTTTACATCTGGGACTTAGTCTCTGAAAGATCTTAAGGGCTTTTTCTCAGCCCAATATGGTATGAGAGCTGGTTAGAGACCAAACTCCCAGCAACTGCGCTCCATCAACCTACAACTCAACTCAATTCAACGACTTCATTGATCACAAGACATGGACAGCAAGGGCAAGAAAGTCTCTACGGGCTCACCCAGCGGCCAAGAAACTCAACACGGCAACTCTCGTCTGCACACCTCAGGACTGCAGACAGAGACCGGGACTGCTCAAGAAACAACGGGAAGAGTACCAGAGATGGTGACTCCATCTCCCTCTTCAAGCGTGGACCCCAACCTTATGGAAAGGTTCTTCAGCTTCATGTCGCACTTCGACCAGCAGCAGCAGACAAGGACACCTGCGCATTCAACACAGAGCAATGGAGGAAACATGGGATTAGCGCCGATGAGCCTCGACAACTCATCGTTTGGGCGACACAATCAAGCGCCTACCTTTGCGCCTTATCACTCTTCACCGGGGACGTTCGAGTTCATGCCGCCCCGTGCCCAACCAACAGCAGCTGCATCACAACAAACACCAAACGAAATCTTAAGTCTCCAGGCGCAGTTTTCACACGTGATAAAACTACAGACATCCTCACCGTTCAACGGACACGACTTCTTTACCTGGAGCTTTGAGTTCGAGCTGCTGATGGAGGCTGCGCATCTCTTGGGATACTTCAACGGGTCCCTGCCATTCCCAAGCAACGGCACTGGAAAGGAACAAGAAATCTTCACGTATCAGTCGCTGCTGGCGTATACGGTTCTCCTGAGAAACCTGTCACCACAAGAACAGCAGAGCATCAGAACATACAGGAGCTATGGAAACTCCGCGGAACTCGCATGGCACCATCTCAAGTGCCTCTATCAAGCAAACGACAGCGTGACACAAAGCAGACTCATGCAACAACTGACAACAATACAAATGAAGACCGGGGAAAAGGCGATGCAGTATATGAGTCGCTACCAGACCCTCCGCGACCGCCTGCTTCGGTGCGGAGGAACAATCACTGAAGAAAGCTTCGTGACGCTTGTCCTCGCCGGGCTCGGGCCAGAATGGAGAACCACACGATCGCTTCTTCGCGCCCACGGAAGGATTTCGGAGATGCACCTCTGCGCTGAGCTTCACGCTGAACAACAGGAGATGGACCTGTTCGAAGAAAGACAACCAAGGAAGCAGCAGCAGTTAGTCTTCTACACTCAACGAAGAAACGACAACACCTACAATCGACGCGGCAAGCAAGAACGCGACAACAGGGGACTTACCTTCGTGCCGCCGTTCTGCCACAACTGCCAGACTTCCGGGCACTCCAAGGTCAACTGCAACCGCCCTCGCGTTTACCGTCCAGCAGACCCACAAGTCGCTTCCACTCAAGCAAGTCCCCCAAGGCGCTCTTCAACATCTGCACAACAGACACCAAACATTATCAATTGCATGGTACACATCCACAACTGCGCACCCGGATCACCACCCACTTACGCGCCAGACGAAGAAGAGCTCCCGCCACCGCGCTCACAAGGCCTTCAAGTCAATCCAACATATGCTGCGGTCGCCAACGCCGAACCCACCGGGCGAAACACCTGGTTCTTGGACAGCTGCTGCGGGCAACACATGTGCTCTTCGGGACGCTTCGTGCAACAGGAGAAACGCCTCAACCGCGACGTCATCATCACCGTCGCCAACAACGAAAATCTGAAAACAAACAGACAAGGCGTGGTTCAGTTACAATCCATGGAGACAAATGCCATACTTCAGCTCAACAAAGTCCTCATTGTCGACAACCTGGGATACAACCTACTAAGCGTAAGCCAACTAATGGCCAAGGGGATTCACCTGGAGTGCGACTCCTACTCCAACGAGTTTCGGCTATACCACGGGAAGGGTGGCCTCTTCATCGGTCGTGCCCTCCTGAAATCCGGCGTCTTCGTGTTGGACTTCGTCCCCGACCGCGGTACTGCCGACAGCGACGGCATCGTATCATTCGCCGCCTGGACACACCCGCCGGATCTTGATCCAGAATTCGACAGTGACGGCTTCTGGCACTCCAACACCATACCTGCAGCAGAAAGAACACGAGCATTAGCAGTCATCAGACAAGAAAGACAAGTACCCGCGAGTATCCCAACCAAACCATCACCTGCAGTAGCAGCAGCAGGACCCAGCCGAGTCCCACCACCGGCAATCCGAGGACCGCCAACCGAAGCAGACCAACTTATGCCCATCACACGAGAAGTTTGTCGAAGTCCCGCCACAGTCGTCGCGTTCTTCTCCAACGCCGACATATACCACCGCTCGCCGGGTCATCGCGCTTCCGACGACATCTGGCACCAACGCCTCGAGCATCCTGCAAACAGCACGATACTACAGACAATCCAAGCACAGGTGTTAGAATGCAACGCCCTCCTAACGACGAACGGCCAAGAACTTCGACGACCACGAGCACGGTGCTTCACGTGCCCCGAAGCAGATCTTCCTCATCAGCCTTTTCCATCTCATCACAACCCAAACGCACCTACATACGCTCCGATGGAAAAAGTCTACAGCGATATCTTAAACATGCCTCGAGAAGACACCGAAGCCGACTTCAACTACGTCATCACGTTCATCGACGCAGCAACCAGATACGTCTGGCACTTCAATCTCAAGACGCGCGATCAAGCTTTCGACGCCTTCACGACATGGCTCCCCATCGCCGAACGAGAATCAGGAACCAAGCTCAAGAGCTTCCAATCAGACGGTGCACTGGAATACCAGTCACAACGCTTCAGGACCTATCTGGCGGAAAGAGGAATCAGACGCCTGGTGTCTTTGCCCTACGCTCACCAGCAGCAGGGGGTCGCAGAACGCATGAACCGGACCTTGCAGACGACGATGCGGAAGCTGCTCCTGGGGATGAAACTGCCCACCACACTGTGGCCAGACGCGATGACACATGCAGTCCACCTGCACAACCTGCTGTCCTCGTCATCGCTTCCCAACAACGCATCACCGCACCTGTTGTGGACAAGAAAAAGGGGCAGCACAAAATTACTCCGAGTTTTCGGCTGCATGGTACAGTACAGACCCCACACAGCCCGAGCAGGACGCTTCACACAACGAGCTCGGTGGGGCCTACACCTCGGCATCGCCAAACATTTTCACGCGTGGAAAATTCTCGACATACAAGACAAAAATACCGTGGCATCACGTGATGTTATCTTCTACGAGCGACTGACGCTGCAGCATTACCTGGACAACATTGCCAATACACAAGACCCCACCGACGGCTTCTCGGGACTTCGTTCCTTCGCCGACCGTGCTGCCGAAGCTGACGCGGCAGAAGAAGACGTACCTGAAGCCTCGGAAGCTGCCGGACCACTCCCATTCTGTTCCGTACCTATTCCACTCGACGAAGACAATCCTCTCGATAGCAACAACCTCGACACCTTTTACCACTTCGCTGACCAAGGTTACATTACACCCCACCCAGTCGACACAAATGTTTCAGAACGCATCGGTCCCAACTTCTTACCTGACCCAGAAGACGGTGACGAAGCAGCTTATTCCGGGAATGAAAATTCCCCTCGACACACACCCACGGGACTGCAGATTCTAGGCCTCTGGGTCTCCGTCCAGCATCGGCCGCCGCCTTCTCCGTGAGAGCCTTCGACCCTGTCACAGGCTCTGGGGGGGGAATATAAGGCAAAATGGAAGGAAGCGATGGAAAAGGAGTTAAAGGCTCTGCAAGACCGGAAAACATGGGAACTGGTACCTGCAACAAGCATCAACAACAAAAACGTCCTCTCGGGGAAATGGGTGTACCGCATTAAGACCAACTCAGACGGCTCCATCGAACGATTCAAAGCTCGATGGGTCGTACGAGGCTTCGATCAACGATACGGGACCGACTACACAGAAACCTTCGCTCCAGTCTCCCGTCACACCTCATTACGCATCCTACTCGCCGTCGCGGCCACGAAGACATTACCACTACGCCAAATCGACGTCGCGAATGCGTTCCTATACGCACCTGTGGACGCCGAGATTTTCGTAGAACAACCCCACGGATACATCGACGACCCCACGAAAGTATGCCAACTGACAAAATCCCTATACGGGATCAAGCAAGCCCCGCGGCTCTGGCAGCAGCATCTCCACGGCCGTCTCGCCAAAATCGGATTCCTACAGCTGCCGCATGACCAAGGGATGTACCGACTGCAGAAGGGAAGAGAGTATATCCTACTCATCGTCTACGTCGACGACCTGCTCTACATCGGCTCCACTACCGACATCGCCACCTGGTTCGAACGGGAGCTGAAAGAAGACTTAACACTCACGGTGTCCAACGAAGTGACCCAGTACCTAGGACTGAATGTCGTCGAAGACAACTCGGCGTTCTACCTACACGCTGCAAAGTACGCATGCGCCGTCGCGAAGAAATTCGGTCTAACGCCGACTACGGTCCCAACTCCCTACCACTACGGGAACAACAACAGCACCTCCGCAAAACTCCCCGCGAAGCAAATCCAGGAGTATCAACAGAAGCTCGGCTGCCTACTATTCGCAGCAGTAACCTGCAGACCCGACCTGTCCTATAGTGCGAGTCAACTGGCAACGCATCTGAAGCAACCGGAACAGGAAGATCTCGAGG